TCCTCAAATTACTGCAGTAGGTGATTGGTTGGTGAGTTTTCTCTCTTCCTCTGTCCCCTGACTTAGAGAAATTAAAATGTTGGCAAACACATGTCAATCTTTTTTTTTTTTTAGCTCGCTCAAGGGAACAATTATTTTGTATATACAGATTTTGTACACCCTCTCCCTTAAAGTATATGATAATATACATGAGAGGTTTGCTAGATTTGAAAGCAAAAGTGTGGAAGTCAGCTAAAAATCTTTCAAGAACTTAATCTAGGGTAGGTGAGACACAGGGTTATGTGTGAGTACCAAAGGAATTGGGCTGGAAGAAAGAAGAACCAAAAAGCAGAAAGGTTGGATGCTTCTCTGGCAAGATGGCAAAAAGGGCCACCTTCATTGGAGCTTGAGTAAGCACACATGGATGAAAATAAAAAGCTAAGTTCTTACCATTTCATGTTACCACGCTAGCATGTGCTTCCTTCCGGTCCCCACTACTGCTATTGCTACAGGGTGAAAGGCTGAGTAACAGATTGCAATCTGCAGTGAGCCGGCTAGGAGGAAGGCTCAGGCGGGTGTGATGGTTGGTGGCAGGGAAAGGGGAAGCGGGCTGCTGAGCTAACCCAGTGCCCACTAACAGGGTGGCAGGGGGTCTAGGGCCAAGCAAGGTCCCTAGGTCTTACATTAGCAGGAAGTCAGGGCCTTATGTTGGTTAGGAAGGAAAAAGGCTGAAAGAAATAAAAGTGTTAATGGATCCTGCTGGAATAGCCCCCTCTTTCCCTCAATATCCTTCTCTTCCTTCTCTCCACAGCCTTTTCCACGGCCTCCGTGCCCATCCATCACCATTAATCCAAGTTGATGCTCCTCCTACATCTAGCCAAGATGCTTCCTAAAGCTACATCAAAGCAAAAAGTCACTGGTCTAATGCACAGGAAGGTAGATTCAAAGTTCTGGTTTTAGGTTTCAGACACATAATTTTCCTGAATGTTTAAAATGATGAATGGGTTCTATAGCCTAAGGAAAGAGAGCTTTTCTAGGTTAGTTCCAGAATCTACCACCTGTAATACTATTTTTAAGGAAAAGTATGCTCCCGGCTCCAATTAGTAATCTGAAATCATTTTAGCTGAAGCAATGAATAATAATCCCTATTCGATATTTATAACTATGTACATTAAAAAAATTCGTATCCCTGACATCTCTTGGCTTTATAGAATTTTGCTACTTACAGTGCAGGGGGCTGGGAAAGGCATGTGATTAGGTTGGCATTTGCCATCTCTTGGAGAAAATCACTTGTATGTAAGGAAGATGAATGTTCACGAAAGCATTAACATTGCAGTTTCACCTTGCAGAATGACAACTGGATTGAATGAACAATACAGAATATAATGAAATAACAGATTATGGAAATCAGTGAAAACTTTCAACTGCAATTTGTTCTTTTTAAAACACCAGTGGAGGACCACTTGTATGAGCATGGCCCTAGATTCAATCTCCAGCACAGCAAAAAAAGAAAAAAGAAAAGACAACCAGTATGCAAAGATAGGTAAAGTTTGTAAGAATGTCCCCATTTTGCTTTAAATTGTTACTCATTCCATTAAGTTGAGCTACCTGAGGGCTGCTGTTTCCCTTTAAATTACAAAGCCCTTGGGGGCCATGGAAATGGCTCAGTGGAATAAGTGCTTCCCTGGCAAGCACAAGGTCCTGAGTTCAATCCCTGGTTCCACTAAATAAATAAATAAATAAATACCAAAGCCCTGACTAGGAGGTCTTAACTCACTCTTCCATCTAGGTCTAGCTGTGGCCCCCTTTAAGAAGCTACCCCCGAGTCCACCCACCCATAGCATAATTTCAGAGCTGTGTCCTGTGAGCCTGAAACTTCTGTTTCAGCCAGGACACAGACTCTCCCTGAGCTTCTCACACTGGGACAGAATGAATCTCTATGGGCTGAAATGACTCATTCATGGGAGTAACGTGAAATTTTAAAGTACAAAATTTAAGAACCTGAAGGACCCTCAAAAAAATCATTCCAACACTCCACTATTTTCTGAAATGTTGAATGACTCGCTCCAAACAGAAGAAACAAAACCAAGGCTCTCCCATGAGGGGATTTTAGAAACTGAGTTTAATTTCCGCCCCCTTCTAACCCAGGGCTAGTTTTACAGGCGAAGAATCTTTATTAAAGAAGATAGAGATAGAGGGCCTTCCCCTACCTCACAATGACATGGCTCACAGCAGACCTGGGATGAAAACTCAGCTCTGCTTGGAAGGGCAGAGTTCTTCCCCCCATGTAGTAATGACTCAACTTTCAAGTGCAGGTAGAGGATGTAAAGATAAGGTTGGCGTGGCTCAGGGGCCTGTAGCTGCCTGTGTCTGTATAACCTACAAGCCAAAAATGATTTTCCCCATTTTAAACAGTTGAAATAAATCAAAACAACACTATTTCACAAAACTATATAAAATTTAAATTTCAGTGCCCATTAGTAGAAGGTTTTTTTTTTTTTTTTTTTGAAGCTCGAAATGCCTTTAGGGCATTTCTCGTTTGCAGTGACTCTCTGGTTTGGAACCCCAGAAGCTTGAGCTTCAGGGCTTTGTTTAAGCAGGCACTTAAACAACTGAACTGCTGGGCAGGTCCCCTTCAGTGCCCATTAGTGAACTTTAATTGGCACACAGCCGCCATCATTCATGACTGTTCTCATGACAGAGTTGAATATTTGTGAGAGACAGCAAAGTCTAAACTGCTATCTCACCCTTGGCAGTAAAAAGTGGCCAGCTCTTGGTAGAAAAAAGGCAAACGTCCTACAGATATCAGAGGAAAATAAGCCATAGCACCACCGAACTCCACAACCCTCAGTCTAGATGAACAAAAGGTTTCAATGAAAATGATCCCACCAACAATCTTTAATATCTTCATGCTGAAAGAGATGACACAGACTCCATGTCAACTGGATGGGCAGGGGTTAAATTGACACCTCTCTAGGCTGGAAAAAGCCATAAGGTTACACAGTGGCCAGGAACAAGGGTCTCTCCACAGCCCGTGCTCCTCACTTTTCCTCCCTACCCTGAAATGCCAGTCTTCTATCATATGATCCCAAGACCGGAAGCTTCCCTTGATTCTACAGCAGTGTATCTAACAGGAGGCAGCCAGGCCCATGAGTGATCCTTCAGGAGCAGCCACCTGAAAGGATTCTTGCATTGACCAGTTATTACCCATGAATCCCAGAGCCAGTTATGGATGTCCTGGTTTCCTAGTTTAAATGGTAAAAGGTAAGTACTATCTTCCCAGGCTCATTTGGAAAATTAAATGAGTAACAGCTTAAATATTAGCTCTTGTCTAACATTTTTCTCCCCAGTAAATGATATGATGTTGCCCAGATTGGTCTCAAATTTGTTATCCTTTTGCCTCAGCCTTCAAGTATAACCAGCTGCCTTGCCCAGAGATAACATTTAGAAAACCTCAGAAAGAGAGCCTTGTTAAAAGATTTTAAAAGATTCTTTCAAATTAGTTTAGAATTTAAGATTTTTTCCCTACAGCCCTAGGAACAAAATGCCTAATCAGTGCAATAAAAAGAGATTCAAGTAGTTAGCTGGGTAGTTTCCTCTCCTATCTTCCAGTTCTTTAATGTTCCCTTCAAGTTGTAATCCAAAACAAGAGCGCTATAATTTTAGAAAAGTTACGTGTATGTAATTTTTATAGCAAACCACCCAAAGAACCAAGTTTTGATATATTATACTCATGCTCAGTTATGAAGCCTGAGACTGGAAAAAAAACACCAGAACCAGCGAGTCCTGGTTTATTTAGTCTGGCTAACTTAACATGAAGTTCTTCTTGTTCTTAAAATATTCAGCTTTGGCCAAATTCCAAAACTGACATAAGCCTACTTCAGGTATGTTGAAGAGGCTGCAGAAAATAAAAACTAAAAATAAGATTGGAGTATAAAAGCATAAAAAGTATGACCACAAAGGCCCAGAGTATATTGTTTTGAAACCATTAAACTAGGGTTTCTACCCTCAATTAAAAAAATAAATATGTCTATAGTCTCCACATTGGATTACAGGGTGCTAACAGTTAATTTCAATAACATATGATCATGCCTTACCTTTGCTACAGGCTAATTACTCCAGTCACTATACTGCCTAGCACTTCCTCAAATCTGTCAGATAGTCAAAAGATACATGTTTTTTTTTTTTTTTTCATGAATAATGCTAGCAAGCACTTTAATGGCCAAACTCATCTCAGGCATTAGATTGTGTATCAGCGTTTTAAATAATGTCAAATTATAAACTTTCCAACCCACCACAGCATAAGGAAAAAAAAAAAAAAAAAGCCACAAACTTGGCTCTTTTGCCAAGGTCTTGATCTAACCAAGCTATCACACACACTGAGCGTAAGCTGGTAGTGTCTCTTCATACTTTCTGAAATAATCACTCGAAAGTTAAAATTGGTAAGAGACGAGAAATTCAAGGTATTAAAATGTCTTGAAGGTTAACCGAGCTGTGAAAGATTGGGACAGGACAAGCGAACGCCCATGCAGTTGGCTGTGTGGCATAAGGCATAGTTTCTACACTCTTAAAACTACACAGAGAAAAAGAAACTGTCACCTAAAAGGGCCACGGGTTTGTGTATTAGGAAAAGAGGGGCCAAACCTAGGAGAAGAGAAACACCCCGAATGCAAAAGAGCTGATGGGAGCAAATAGCGGCACTTTTGGGAAACGAGTTTGCAAATGGACCCCGCCGCCCCCGAGCTCCAAAGCCCGGGAGATCAGTGATTCTCAGGCACAAACACACACTGGCTCTTTGCACGCACAAACGCACTCTTCCCAGCAGCGAGCGCGGGAGGCGAAGTCACGAAGCGCGGCTGGCTGCTCCCAAGGTGGGGGAGAAGTAGGAAGCACAGAAAGAAAACAAACTATGTCCCCCGCCCACCCCTCCTGCCCCCCAGCCCCCACCCCGCTCTCCAAGAGGCCAGGGCAGACCCAGCCCCACCACACCGCCGAGGAGGACAAACGCGCCACACACTCACCTGCGTTGTAAAAACGGTCCAGCACCGCGGTTTCCCCGAAGTCCAGTTTACCAAAATGCAGCGTCTCCAGGGTGGCGCCCACCGCCTCGCACGCCTCTCGCAAGCTCTGCAAGGCCTCGCTCTCAGCCACCACCAGCTGCCCCTGGCTCGCCTCGTTGATCACATATGCCACGGTGGTCCGGCGGCCACCACCGCTCGCGGAGTTGCCCCGGCACCGGGTGGCGCTGCTCCCAGGGGCGGCGGCGGGACACCCGGGGCCAGGGGCTGCAGCGCTTTCCACGTTCCAGAAGCTGCCCGGTGGCGGTGGCTGCGAGCTCGGCTCGCCCTCGGCCGCCGTCGTCACTCCTCCCCTCCGACAGCTGCCGCCCTCGGGGAAGGTGCAGAAGCCCGAGGAGGCCAAGGGTGGCACGGAGAAAGTGATGCCCTCGCCGGCCTCCGTGCCCATCTCCGCGGGCCGGGCTGCAGCGCCGGCCGCCCAGCCGCCCCGTCTGGCCAGCCACAGCTCAGGGCTGCTCCGCGCGCGCCGGGCTAAGCAGCTGCCATCGCGCGCCGCG